CCAGTCAGTTTCTCTGCTTGCTTTGGATGTTCTACTTCTGTGTTTTCAGGTACACAAATATATTTTTTTCAAGGTTTAATCTGTTAATAACTGCATTGTAACATATTTTTCATCTCAGAGATTGTATTTTTCATCTCTTCAACTTGGGTCTTTTTGCTTTTTTGTGTCTATTTAGCATGCTGATGCTTTCTTCTGCCTTCTTGAACATACATAATACAGTCATAACTGCTTAAGTGTGGGAGGGGAAGCTCTATCATCTGCCATTTTTATATTTGTTTCTCTTGATTTTTCTCTTTTTAATCTTATTTTTCTGCTTTGCATACCTGATATATTTTGATTGGATGACATACATTGTGCATTCCACTGGTTGTATGATATTTTTTGTTCTCTTAAATATTCTTGATTTCAAAGAACCAGCTCATTGGAAAAGACCTTGATGCTGGGAAAGATTGAGAGCAGGAGGAGACAGGGGCAACAAGTAGAGATGGTTGGATGGCATCACCGACTCAATGGATATGAGTTTGAGCAAATTTTGGAAGATAGTGAAAGACAGGGAAGGCTGGCGTGTTGTAGTTCATGGGGTCGCAAGGAGTTGGTCACAACTTAGTGACTGAATGACAACTGTTAAATTACTTGGAAACAATATGATCTTCCCAAGGTTTGCTTTTATGCTTTGTTAAGCTGAAACAGAACAGACTTGAGCCTAGAGATTTGGTTGTACCACTGAGACAACACTCTTACGAGTACTCGTTAATAGCTCTTACAGTGCAAGGTTTTCCACTCTGGTTGGTTAGAGCATGATTTCTGTTAGCCTTGTGTCAGTGCCTTGAGATAGTCTCTTATCTCCCTATTTTTAGGCAGGTCTTCTCACATCCTGTGGCAATCAGTACTCAGCTGAAGAACTCTTTTTAGGAATTCTCTGAAGTTCTGTAGAATTTTTCTCCGTGTAATTTTTCTCCGTTTATTTCTCTCCTCTTTTGTACTGTACCTTGTAAATTCTACATGCCTTGGTCTCCCCTTACTCATGCCTGTCTTCTCAAATAATAGAAAATGTTAGGCTCTAGTTGGTTCTTCATCCTTGCCTTGCAGCCTGAAAATTCTCCAGGCTGGCCAATTACAGAAACTTTTCTCCTTTGTGTGCCTTCTTTCAAGGGTCATTGTCCAGTGCTGCCTGTTGTTTGATGTCTAAAAATCATTGTTTCAGATATTTTGTCCAGTCTTTTAGTTAACGTGGGAAAATAAATCCTTCCCTGTTGTTCCATTATATAAACTAATATATTAGTTCCCTTTCAATTCCCTTTCAGTTTCTTAAAGGAATACTGAATTATATATTATTCATTGAGCATTTTCACTCATACTATTAAAAATTTGTTCCACTGTGGCTTTTTAAAGTCTTGTTTTAAGATGTCTGGTGCCAGTATTATTCTATTTCCCATATGTTATTTGATCTTTTTCTTATTGGGTTTTTTTCCTTGTGTTCCACTTCAGTTGCTTCTCTCAGGTGGTCTTTAATTTTTTCTCATTTGGTCATTTTCTTACCTTTTTGTCTTTTTTGAAATTTTTATTTTACTTCTTCTTTGAACAACTCTTAATTTATCCTTCCATTTTAATATTATTTTGTATTTTTTCCCCCTTTAGTTTCTGTTGTGAGGTTTTAAAATTTCTGAATCTGGGTGCAAATGCTTACCAAAAAATGTTTAATTCAGTACTGTAATTTGTTTATGCCTTGTGGTTTTTGTTTATGTTGAGGGATTGTCATCACCTGAAATGTCTCAGTTCTTATTTTTTTTAAATGTATTTATTTATTTTATTTGGAGGACAATTATTTTACAGTATTGTGATGGTTTTTGCCATACATCAGTGTGAATCAGCCATAGCTATACATGATGTCCCCTCCGTCCTGAATCACCCTCCCATCTGTCTCCACATTTTGTTTTTGTCTCATAGTAGCTTAGCAGGTCATAGTAGTATGCAGGTCAAGAAGCAACAGTTAGAACTGGACATGGAACAACAGACTGGTTCAGAATTGGGAAAGGAGTATGTCAAGGCTGTATATTGTCACCCTGCTTATTTAACTTATATACATCATGTGAAATGCTGGACTGGAAGAAGCACAACCTGGAATCAAAGATTGTTGGGAGAAATATCAGTAACTTCAGATATGCAGATGACACCACCCTTATGACAGAAAGTGAAGAAGAACTAAAGAGCCTCTTGATGAAAGTGAAAGAGGAGAGTGAAAAAGTTGGCTTCAAACTCAGCATTTAGAAAACTAAGATCATGGCATCTGGTCCCATCACTTCATGGCAAATAGATGGGGAAACAATGGAAACAGTGACAGACTTTATTTTTTTGGATTCCAAAATCACTGCAGATGGTGACTGCAGCTCTGAAATTGAAAGACACTTGCTCCTTGGAAGAAAAGCTATGACAAACCTAGACAGCATCTTAAAAAGTAGAGGCATTACTGGACCTTGCTGACAAAGGTCCATCTAGTCAAAGTTATGGTTTTTCTAGTAGTCATGTATGGATGTGAGAGTTGGACTATAAACTTCGGCTGAGTGCCGAAGAATTGATGCTTTTGAACTGTGGTGTTGGAGGAGACTCTTGAGAGTCTCTTGGACTGCAAGGAGATCCAACCAGTCCATCCTAGAGGAAATCAGTGCTGAATTTTCATTGGAAGGACTGATGCTGAAGCTGAAACTCCAATCCTTTGGCCACCTGATGGGAAGAACTGACTCATTGGAAAAGACCCTGATGCTGGGAAAGATTGAAGGCAGGAGGAGAAGCGGATGACAGAGGATGAGATGGTTGGATGGCATCACCGAGTCAATGGACATGAGTTTGAGCAAGCCCCGGGAGTTGGTGATGGACAGGGAGGCCTGGTGTGTTGTAGTCCTTGGGGTTGCAAAGAGTTGGACATGACTGAGCTACTGAACTGAACTGAGCTTAGCATTGATGGAGACATTATCTTTGTGTTTGTCAACTGTTGGCTGCAGTAATTTGTTAGATTCCTCAAGAATACCCTCTTTTGACCTACATAGGAAGGAAATCCAGAAATGAAGGAATCTATGTATATGTATGGCTGATTCATTTTGCTGTACAGCAGAGACTGACACAGCAGTGTAAAGCAACTACACTCTGATTTAAAACACTACTCTCTTCTGTCTGCAAAATGCAGTTCACTTGATGGATGATTGTTTTTGGAAGTGTTGAAGGAAGAATCCAACGTTTTTAATGTTATGTAAGAGCCTCAGTTTCCCATTGTTGGTACTTTTTCCTCTAACACCGTTTCCAAAGGATAACCCTTTTACCGTCTTCTACTTTTACAGTTCTTATCCAAGGTGAGACCCTTGACTTTTATGTTGCTAATTCTTTATTTTTCACACATAATCTAATCCCCTCTTCTGTTTTCTGTTTTTTTTTTTTTTTTTAAATTTCCTGAATCCCTTAGCTCTCTCAAAGGACTTGATGTAGGAGCCCCAGGATGGAAGGCATTGAACAGTGGTTTGTATTTTTCTTCTTACAGGCAATTTTGAAGTTTAAACTCTTCTCTTTATTCTGCCTCTGCCTAAGACAGGGGGTTTTTGTGGTTCTATTTGCTCTTAATTTTAATGTACTTATTTTTTGGGAATGATATGTAGAGAGATTCAGATTTAGGCAATTGTCGATACTTTTGTTTGCTGTAAATTTGGAAAGTCTTCATGAGAGCAGTTAACATATTTTTTCCTTATAATTTAACTAAAAAAAGATAACTTTAGACATTTTCTTGAATCAAAGTATTATGGCATGTGACATGGCATTTGACTTTTAAAATGGTTGGATTTTGCAAATAAGGGACTTTGAATTTTATTATTTTACATAACAGATGAGTAGAGTAGTTTTACTATTTTTCATGTAAATTTTGAGTTCCAGATTGTTCTTACACCTATGTGTGGGATGTCTATAAAGTTAGGTTAAGGTTACTACATAATACTTTTAGTGGTTTAATGAAATAGTGAATTATTGTTACTTGACCTTTTGAAAAGGTCAGTAGTACATTTTGTTTCATTTTTTTAAAGGACATTTAAATGTAATGAAAGTCAGAACTGCAATATTACCATGAAAGTAAAGGTTATGGGGTACATTTAATTGTGTTCCTCTATTTTTGAAACTGCTTTGAGGGAGATTCTGATAAAATTCTCGTGGTAATTGTTTTTCAAGAATTTTATTACTCTTTTTCATTTTATACTGTTGGAGTAAAAGATTATATTTCTGTTTGTCTTTTTCTGCTTACCTTTGCTTAGATTTCATGTGTATTATGCTATTTAAGGTACAAAGTTTAAGCTGCTTACCCATTCATTTTCTCAGGAAAGTAAAACAGTATATTTCTCAGAGAACTGTCCTTTTTTCCTTAGACTTTTGAGTAAAATTTAGTCTTTTCAGATTATAGTTAATGAATATTTAAATTAAAATAAGTAACAGTGTTTCAAGGATTTTATTTATTAAAGGTCTGCAAGTGTGGAAGAACTAAATTTATCAGAACATAAACTCTGATTTATGAAAATATTTCTGTGATGTCTGTATATTAAGATTAAATATATTTTTACTTTATTAAAATTTGGAAAACTACAAATATGGGGTATGTCATGATTTTTTCTCCTATATTCAAATCAGTTTGAAGGAATTTGTTTTTTCTTGAATTTATTTCCTAAGAAATAACACTTAAATTTCTCCTTTATATATGCATAACAATTTGTTAGTATTTCTTATTTATGTGAATGACTTTTTCTTTAAAAACAAAATCCTGTCTCAGTGTTTTTGATTACCCAGTAATCACAAAAGTTCCTGGTACATTTTTGAGTTATTTTCCCTCAAATGCACTATTTTGTTGCTTATATTTTAACAAGTATTTGAATAAAGTTGATACCTTTTAGAAAATACAGCAAAATGTTGCCTTTTTAATGTGACTCTGATTGATTTCTCTTAATTTGAGTGTACCTTTTTAATGTTTTCCACAGGGAAGAGATTTCCACCTTAGACTATTGCTGCCCAAAGACTTGCAGCTGAGGAATGCAAGGTAATGTGGTCTCTTGTTGTATACTCTACAGGCATCTTGCTGGGATGGGCAGTCACATCTGTATAAGCTGATTGTTTGTTAGAGTTCTGCTTATTAATTAGTTAAACAGAAGCATTTCTGAGTTTGCAAATCAGTGTGCTTTTTAAATGATATTCTGTGGTGTTGAAGTGCTCTTCCACAGCAGCACAGTCTAATTTACTTTTTATCTAAAGCAGTAAACAACAAGTGAAAATATTTGGAGAATAGAAAATAATTAGAAAACTTTGTTTCCAACTTTTGACTGATGTTGATTATATGTTTGTTCAGGCATGGGAAGCCCCACAATATCAGTTCTGCCCTGATAGAAATTAGGTGTCAACATGGCTATAGGTATTGACAGCCCTTCAAGGAATGTCAAGAGATGAAAATAGAAATTTAGGTAGCACCTAAAATCTAATTTCTGCTCCAAAATTTTTCTGAGGGTAGGAAGGGAAGAAGAATCCAGAGACAGTTGCCAGTAGAACTGACAAGATTTTGTGACTGATCAGAAGTGGGGGATAAGAGAGGGAGAGGAGCGGAGGATTCTTTGCAAATTCCTAACTCAAGTAAGAGGTCACAGATGGAAGAAGTCCAAGGGGAATTGTTTTAAGGCATATCAGATGTGAAGTATGAAGAGGACATTTTAGTAGGTATCAGTGTTTTGGTGGGGAACTTAAGCATAAAGTTTGGAGTGGAGATGTGTGTAGAAGTCACAGTAGGCATGGGATTTGGGGCCATGAATATGGATAGGTTTTCCTGCATGGATAGAGTGAGAAGAGAAAGCCAGTGACATAATCTTGAGCGCATAACAACATTTAAAGGTGTGGTAAATAAGACCTTGGAAGAAGACAAAGCATTGACCAGATTTAACAGGAAAACCTGGACAGTTGTTTCTGAAACCAAAGAAAGAGCAGCTTAAAAGTCAGAGTGGTTAACATTGCTTAGTATTGCAAAGGGGTCAGTTTAGATTGCAACTTTCATGTAGTGGTTGAAGTCGGCTTGTATTGGGGTTTTTGGAGTGGGCAGAAAGGAAATGTAAACAGTATAAACTACTTTGAAGAACAGGAGTGGCTAGAGAAGGGTGTGCAGTCAAGGAAGAGTTATAATTATGTGTTTTCTTAATAAGATTGACTTAAACAAGTTACAGTGGAAAAAACACTAGTGGAAAGTAAGGCTACCGTAGTAAAGGAGTAATTAGTGAATTGATGTGACTGAGTTGGTGGCAGGGGGTGGAAAGTACATTTGAAGATGGGGTTTCTCATGGGCAGTCGAATGAGCTCCTCTGCCCCTGTGATAGGAGATAGCAGAGAGGATGCGGGTTAGCAGACCAGAAAAGGAGAGTCATGATGGTTTGAAAAGACCATGGTTGGGAAAACTCAGACTTCCTACTTCGAGGTAAGTAAAAACATTTCTAGAAGAGTTACCTAACAGTGTTAAGAGTGCAGCTGAGGGTGAGCCAGTAGATAGATGAAAATTAATTTATCACTACTTAAACAGTTGAAAGTATGTATGTCCTTAATCTGGAATTTAAGGAAGATTGGATTGTTATAAGGACACAGGAGCCTAGCGGGCTACAGTCCATGAAGTCTCGAAGAGTCAGACATGACTAAGCCAGCACAAACACAGATTGTTATAATGCATTTGGTTTCTCAAATACAAGTTCTGTATATTATGATCAAAACTGTTGGTTTTATTTAACCTACCTTAGAATAGAATCCAATTCAAGAAAACATTGCTTTGGATATGTTAAAATTTTAAAAAAATGTACTGTTTGTTTGCATGTCATTTGCTGATTGCAGTCATTTTTATTTTGAACTAAAATTAGTACCAACATTTTGAAGACATGATTTTCAACAGTACTAGTGGTAAAAATTTTATTAACTTGTCAGAATTATGGTTATGTCATTCTTTTCTATGTATGTACATATTGGAGTTAGCATACAAATAGTTTTTTCCTTTTAATTCTAAACAATGAACAAACCATTTTGTTCCATTAAAATTTTAGATTACTGTGTAGTTGGCAGCTGAAAACAGTACTTAATGGATATCATCACATAGTACAACAGGTAAGTCCTTTTTTTAAAAGATTTGTTTTAAGTGAGAGTAATTAGTTAATCTGATCACATGGACCACAGCCTTGTCTATCTCAGTGATGAGCCATGCTGTGTAGGGCCACCCACGATGGATGGGTCATGGTGGAGAGTTCTGACAAAATGTGGTCCACTGGAGAAGGGAATGGCAAACTACTTCAGTATTCTTGCCTTGAGAATCCCATGAACAGTATGAAAAGGCAAAAGATATGACACTGAAAGATGAACTCCCCAGGTCGGGAGGTGCCCAATATGCTACTGGAGATCAGTGGAGAAATAACTCCAGAAAGAATGAAGGGATGGAGCCAAAGCAAAAACACCACTCAGTTGTGGATGTGACTGGTGATGGAAGTAAAGTCTTATGCTGTAAAGAGCAATATTGATAGGAACCTGGAATGTTAGGTCCATGAATCAAGGCAAATTGGAAGTGGTCAAATAGGAGATGGCAAGAGTGAACGTCAACATTTGAGGAATCTGTGAGCTAAAATGGACTGGAATGGGTGAATTTAACTCAGATCATTATATCTACTACTGCGGGCAAGAATCCCTTAGAAGAAATGGAGTAGCCATCATAGTCAACAAAAGAGTCTGAAATGCACTATTTGGATGCAGTCTCAAAAATGACAGAATGATCTCTGTTCGTTTCCAAGGCAAACCATTCAATATCACAGTAATCCAAGTCTATGCCCTGACCAGTAATGCTGAAGAAGCTGAATTTGAGCGGTTCTATGAAGACCTATAAGACTGTCTAGAACTAATACCAAGATGTCCTTTTCATTATAAGGGACTGGAATGCAAAAGTAGGAAGTCAAGAGATACTTGGAGTAACAGGCAAATTTGGTTTTGGAGTAGAGAATGAAGCAGTCAAAGGTTAATAGAGTTTTGCCAAGAGAACACACTGGGTCATAGAAAACACCTTCTTCCAACAACACAAGAGAAGATTCTACACATGGACATCACCAGATGGTCAATATCAAAAACAGACTGATTATATACTTTGCAGCCAAAGATAGAGAAGCCCTGTACAGTAAGCAAAAACAAGACTGGGAAATGTGACTCAGATCATGAACTCCTTATTGCCAAATTCAGACTTAAATTGAAGAAAGTAGGGAAAACCTCTAAACCATTCAGGTATGACCTAAATCAAATCCCCAACAGTTATACTGTGGAAGTGAGAAATAGATTCAAGGGATTAGATCTGAAAGACAGAGTGCCTGAAAAACTATGGTGAAGGTTCGTGGCATTGTACAGGAGGCAGATATCAAGACCATCCTCAAGAAAAAGAATTGTAAAAAGGCAAAGTGGTTATTTGAGGAGGCCTTACAAATAGCTATGAAAAGAAAAGCAGTGAAAGGCAAAGGAGAAAAGGAAAGATATACCCATTTCAATGCAGAGTTCCAAAGAATGGCAAGGAGAGATCAGAAAGCCTTCCTTTGTGATCAGTGCAAAGAAATAGAGGAAAACAATAGAATGGGAAAGACTTGAGATCTCTTCAATAAAATTAAAGATACCAAGGGAACATTCATGCAAAGATGAGCACAATAAAGGACAGAAATGTTAGGGACCTAACAGAAGCAGAAGATATTAAGAAGAGGTGGCAAGAATACACAGAACTTATATACAGAAAGATCTTCATGACCCAGATAACCACAATGATGGGATCATTCACCCAGAGCCACACATCCAAGAATGTGAAATCAAGTGGGTCTTAGGAAGCATCACTACAAACAAAGCTAGTGGAGGTGATGGAATTCCAGTTGAGCTATTTCAAATCCTAAAAGATGATTCTGTGAAAGGGCTTCTCTAAATACACCAGCAAATTTGGAAAACTCAGCAGCACCTACAGGATTGGATCACTTTCATCAAGAGGGTCTTTAGTTCTTCTTTACTTTCTGCAATAAGGGTGGTGTCATCTGCATATTTGAGGTTGTTGATACTTCTCCCAGAAATCTTGATTCCAGCTTGTGCTTCATCCAGTCCAGTATCTCTCATGATGTACTTTGTGAATAAGTTAAATAAGCAGGGTGACCGTATACATTCTTGACATACTCCTTTCCTGATTTGGAACCAGTCTGTTGTTCCATGTCCAGTTCTAACTGTTGCTTATTGACCTGCATACAGGCTTCCCAAGAGGCAGGTCAGGTGGTCTGGTATTCCCATCTCTTTCAGAATTTTCCACAGTTTGTTGTGATCCACACAGTCAAAAGCTTTGGCATAGTCAATAAAGCAGAAGTAGATGTTTTTCTGGAACTCTTTTTCTTTTTCTATGATCCAGTGCATGTTGGCAATTTGATCTCTGATTCCTCTGCCTTTTCTAAATCCAGCTTGAACATCTGGAAGTTCACGGTTCATGTACTGCTAAAGCTTGGCCTGGTGAATTTTGAGCATTACTTTGCGAGCGTGTGAGATGAGGGCAGTTGTGAGGTAGTTTGAACATTCTTTGGCATTGACTTTCTTTGGGATTGGAATGAAAACTGATGTTTTCCAGTCCTGTGGCCATTGCTGGGTTTTTCACATTTGCTGGTGTATTTAGTGCAGCACTTTCACAGCATCATCTTTTAGGATTTGAAATAGCTCAACTGGAATTCCATCACCTCCACTAGCTTTGTTTGTAGTGATGCTTCCTAAGGCCCGCTTGACTGCACATTCCAGGATGTCTGGCTCTAGGTGAGTGATCACACCATTGTGATTATCTGGGTCGTGAAGATCTTTTTTGTACAGTTCTTCTGCGTATTCTTGCCACCTCTTCTTAATATCTTCTGCTTCTGTTAGGTCCCTAACATTTCTGTCCTTTATTGTGCTCATCTTTGCATGAAATGTTCGCTTGGTATCTCTGATTTTATTGAAGAGATCTCAAGTCTTCCCCATTCTATTGTTTTCCTCTGTTTCTTTGCATTGGTCACTGAGGAAGGCTTTCAGATCTCTCCTTGCTATTCTTTGGAATTCTGCATTCAAATGGGTATATCTTTCCTTTTCTTCTTTGCCTTTTGCTTCTCTTCTTTTCTCAGCTATTTTTTTTTTTCATTTATTTTTATTAGTTGGAGGCTAATTACTTTACATCATTGCAGTGGGTTTTGTCATACATTGAAATGAATTAGCCATGGATTTACATGTATTCCCCATCCCGGTCCCCCCTCCCACCTCCCTCTCCACCCGATCCCTCTGGGTCTTCCCAGTGCACCAGGCCCGAGCACTTGTCTCATGCACCCAACCTGGGCTGGTGATCTGTTTCACCCTAGATAATATACGTGTTTCGATGCTGTTCTCTTGAAACATCCCACCCTCGCCTTCTCCCAGAGTCCACAAGTCTGTTCTATACATCGGAGTCTCTTTTTCTGTTTTGCATATAGGGTTATCGTTACCATCTTTCTAAATTCCATATATATGTGTTAGTATACTGTAATGGTCTTTATCTTTCTGGCTTACTTCGCTCTGTATAATGGGCTCCAGTTTCATCCATCTCATTAGAACTGATTCAAATGAATTCTTTTTAATGGCTGAGTAATATTCCATGGTGTATATGTACCACAGCTTCCTTATCCATTCGTCTGCTGATGGGCATCTAGGTTGCTTCCATGTCCTGGCTATTATAAACAGTGCTGCGATGAACATTGGGGTGCACGTGTCTCTTTCAGATCTGGTTTCCTCGGTGTGTATGCCCAGAAGTGGGATTGCTGGGTCATATGGCAGTTCTATTTCCAGCTTTTTAAGAAATCTCCACACTGTTTTCCATAGTGGCTGTACTAATTTACATTCCCACCAACAGTGTAAGAGGGTTCCCTCTTCTCCACACCCTCTCCATCTCAGCTATTTTTAAGGCCTTGTTAGACAACCATTTTGCCAAGTGAGGTTAGGAAGTTGCTAAATATGCTCTTTTTAAAAACCTATTTTGCAAAGTGTTAAAACACACTGGTTTAGTAGTTGTTGAATTCTGTAGGTTTTTTCTCTATCAAGCATTTTAAGGATCCATATTTTATGTAAGATATTTTCAGTCTGAAATCCTCAGCATATTTCCAGGTAGCATTTGTGTTGAAATTTTATTTCCATGCTTGGAACTTCAGGGCCTTCAAATGTATTTACTCTCTCCTCCTGAATAGCCGTGGTACGAAAAGTATCCCAGGACCCATTTAGGAGTTGTAGGATATCTGTAGCAAAAATGTGATTGTAGTTCAAGATTAGCAACAGAAAAGGTGGGGTGGAAATCACATAGGATCAGGCATGCATATGTAATGAGAGTGGATGTAAAGGCAGCATAGGTGAAATATAGGCAGGATTTATTTAGTTACTTTTTATTTTTTAAAAAATTAATAAGTTTATACTTTTGACACCCTTCACCCACTTTATCCACATCCCCACCCAAATTCTTAGTTTTAGGGTTCCTCTACCTGAAGATTCTTTTAAAGATTAGAGAAACAAGCAAATCAGTTACTGAAGCAACTGAAAATAATGAAATACCTCTTGTAGAAAAGTAGATGCAAGTAAAGCTGCCTTTCTTATAATGGTTTATTAATTTGTGTGTTTTTCCTCATCTTCTGTTTTCTCTGTCTTAAAGCAGGTTATTATCTATGGTAAATGACAATGACAGTTAGTCTCACTTAAAGCAGTACTAAACTACAAAGAAATAGAGGACATTGATCTGTAGAAAGTAGACTGTCATTGCTGGCAATATAATTACAGCATATTTTTAAGGGGATGTTTAAATGATTTCTCTCTGCATTCTCTCCACCGTCCCCTCCCCTTTCACTGAGACTATATTGTATGCTGAAGTTTAAGAAATGAATCTAATGAGATAGCTAAATAGCTTGAAGAAAAACTCTTAATGAAGACTTAAGATTCACAAGTTTTTCTCCACCAATTCACCTAGAGAGTTCCTCGAAAAAGTCCAAATTATGTATCTCCCCCACTGCCCTCCAATACTGTAGAACCCAGTATTATAGTTTTAGTCTTTGTTTTATTGCAAAGTCCAGGTGAACATTACTGTTCTTTCCTGGTATCATTTTTAACTTCATTAAATATGAGTCAGGGCGGGAAGTGTGGTCAGCAGTCTTTTCTATGAAGGGCCAGATAGTGAATTTTATGGGTTTTGTGGACCCTAAGATCTCAGTCATGACTACATAGCTCTGCCCTTGTAGCACAGAGCAGCTTTGACAAGAGGTAAATGAATAGGTGTGGCTGCTTTTCATTACAGCTCAATAAAAACAGCTATTGGGCTGGATTTAGCTTCTGAGCAGTAGTTTGCACACTTTTGGTATAATTTATTACTCATCACTAGTCAACTTCAGGGGAAATATATAGAAGAAAGGAAAGTCAAAGATTTGTTCTGCAAACATGTGCCCTACCAATCTACATTAAGGTATGAATCATATGCCTCGTGTAATGTTGAATACTTTAGATTATTATTTTTCTCCTCTGAAAACTGAAATTTACAGATCAGTTTCAGAACTGTGTGGTGGTAGTGCAGTGCATTAGAAAAAGTAGCAAAAATAACATTATTTTGATTTCAAGCAGAGAAATGATGTAGAGATTTATCTAGTAAAGCAATTTTCAATGAGAATTTTTTTGTTTTTATTTTATAATAATTTTCTTTCAAGAATCAAAGATTTCTAGGAAATGGAGCCCTGACACTTTAACATTGTACTTCAGAAGTTATTTCCTGTTTGTCATATTATTTTAACTGTTTTACCTTATTGAAAGATTGACTCCTTTTGAATTAATACAGGTTCGTTGTGAAAGGACAAAAATAACAATTATAGGCAGTCTTTAAGGTCAAAGAAAAAATTAAAATAGACAGTATTATTGATTAGCTAGTTCATTGTTCTAACTAGATTTAATTGTATAGATTTTCCTGATTTTTATATTTTATACTCCTCTTGACATTCCATTCATACTATTTTTTAAAATAGTGCTGTGGTTTGCTAGATTTGCTAAACTTGACAGTAGTCAGTGCTGAAGAAATAGAGTAATGTATGAGACTTTAAGTGCCATGCTTACATAATTCAGCATATCTCACCAAATTAGATTGAGGGCTTTAATTACTCTTTCAGAATGAAATTGGTAGAAATAATAGTGTTGATGACCAATAGTTCAGTTCTTATACATTTAAGATACATAATTTTTAAAAAATATTTATATGGACTTTAAAAAAATTTCCATTTCTAGTGCATGGAATATTCATTGTACACATGAAATTAATTAAAAATATGTTTTGGTCTAGAGAATGCAGCAATCTCCTGATCTAGTGAGTTTTATGATGGAGTTGAAGATGGTTTTGGTAAGAATTTGTTTTTTAACACTGTCATTATACTCTGTAAATCTGGTGTGTTTTTGTAATTCTTTTAAAAACTAACATTAGAATTGAAAACTTCTCAACTCTCAGTCATTTAATGTTTTATTTTACTCGTGCATAAATGTGGATAGTACTTTTCTGGAACTGCAAGAGGAGTAGAACTGTAAGAACCAGTTTAATGGGTACACTTGACACTAGACTTGGACAGGTGGTGAAGAATAAAGTGTACTTCTGGTCTGTTAGAGAATGTAACATCAACAGAGATTAAAAAATCACTATTAAAGATACAGTACAATGTATAAGTAATTTCATATACAATTACAGATTTCTGAAATACATGTTAAGCTTCATTACATATATACAGTTATAGACAATTGATTATTCAGTTAACTATGCATAAATTGGCTTCCCTGGTGGTGCTAGTGGGAAAGAAGCCATCTGCCAATGCAGGAGACATAAGAGACATGAGTTAGATCCCTGGGTTGGGAACATCCCCTGGAGGAAAGCATGGCAATCCACTCCAGTATTCTTGCCTGGAGAATTCCCATGGACAGAGGAACCTGGCAGACTACAGTCCATGGGATTGCAAAGAGTTGGACGTGACTGCAATGACTTAGCATGAGTGGATACATAAGATACTTGATTAGCAAAAGAAGGAAAACTACAGTAAATACCCATGGACCCACGAGCGAACTTCAAAATTTTGCCTAAGATATTTATTTCCCTATCTACTCCTTTAGGAGAAGGAGACTGGAGCATTTTAAAAGGTTTCCTACATTCTGAATTTGGTTCATTAGATATTCATGCTATCTTTTAACATATTCTACCTTTTTTTTTTTTTTTGTAATCTGGCAGTTAAATCTAGAGGTCTGAATGGAGTTGCGTTCAGTTGTCCTGATAAGAATACACTATGCTCTATACTTCATACTCTGCATAGGAGGTACATGGTGTCTGGTAGTTCCTCATTTAATAGAGTTAAGATTAATCAATAGGTTTAGATCAGTCCAATATAAAGTTTCTGATTAGCCTATCACCTACTGATATTAGCTTCCAATGATGGTCATTAACTACATCTTATTTTGTTAGGGGTCGCAAATGGTGATTTTTAAAAATCCATTGTGTTACATTTATTAGCTGAAAATTTTACAAAAAAGAAGTTCCCCTCATCATTTATTTGGTAAATTTGATATCTTGCCCATACTGTAATGAGGACAAGTGCTTGATTTTTTTCCTTTTTTTTTAAAATCAATTTTAAGAATAATGAGCTGGTGCCTAGGAATTCAAAGGGAGCTAATGATTTTTTTAGTATTATGAACCCCTGTATTTTAAAATATTTGATTAATTTTAGCCCATTGCAATTATTCTTCTTTTTAATGGTTAAATTGTACCAGATTTGGTCAATTTAAGTCCTTTCATGTTGGCTCCTGAGTTCTTTTAACACAATCTAAGCTTCACTTTGTGGCACCAGTTGCCCCAGTTTCATTCACTCATCCTGTTTTACCAAAGAGATATGGTTTCTTTGTAGAAAATGGTATTTGGATACCACAATCTTGAAACTAGCATGTTCATTGCTATTTGTTGTCATTCGCTAAGTCATGTCTGACTCTTTGTGACCCCATAGACTGCAGCACCCCAGGCTTCCTTGTCCTTCACTATCTGCCAGAGTTTGCTCAAACTCAGGTCCATTGAGTTGGTGATGCCATCCAACCATCTTACCCTCAGTCACCCTCTTCTCCCTCTGCCCTCAATCTTTCCCAGCATCAGGGTCTTTTCCAATGAGTCTGCTCTTCGCATTACGTGGCCAAAATATCAGAACTTCAACATCAGTCCTTCCAGTGAATATTCAGGGTTGATTTCCTTTAGGATTGACTGGTTTGATCTCCTTACTGTTTCAGTCAGTTCAGTTCAGTTCAGTCGCTCAGCTGTGTCCGTCTCTTTGCAACCCCATGAATCGCAGCACGCCAGGCCTCCCTGTCCATCACCAACTCCCAGAGTTTACTCAAACTCATGCCCATCAAGTTGGTGATGCCATCCAGCCATCTCATCCTCTGTCGTCCCCTTCTCCTGCCCCCAATTCCTCCCAGCATCAGGGTCTTTTCCAATGAGTCAACTCTTTGCATGAGGTGGCCAAAGTATTGGAGTTTCAGCTTCAGCATCAGTCCTTCCAGTGAAAACCCAGGAGTTATCTCCTTCAGGATGGACTGATTGGATCTCCTTGCAGTCCAAGGGACTTTCAAGAGTCTTCTCTAACACCACAATTCAGAAGCATCAATTTTTCGGTGCTCAGCTTTCTTCACAGTCCAACTCTCACATCCACACGTGACCACTGGAAAAACCATAGCCTTGAACAGACGGACCTTTGTTGGCAAAGTAATGTCTCTGCTTTTTAATATGCTGTCTAAGTTGGTCATAACTTTCCTTCCAAGGAGTAAGTGTCTTTTAATTTCATGGCTGCAGTCACCATCTGCAGTGATCTTGGAGCCCAAAAAAGTAAAGTGTGACACTGTTTCCACTGTCTCCCCATCTATTTCCCATGAGATGATGGGACCAGATGCCATGATCTTAGTTTTCTGAATGTTGAACTTTAAGCCAGCTTTTTCACTCTCCTCTTTCACTTTCGTCAAGAGGCTTTTTAGTTCCTCTTCACTTTCTGCCATAAGGGTGCCTTACTGTTTAAGGTACTCTCAAAAGTCTTCTCCAGCACCATAACTTGAAAGCATCAATTCTTCAGCACTCAGCACTTCCTTCTTTATGGTCCACCTTTCACATCCGTACATGATTACTGGAGAAACCATAGCTTTGACTGTTCAAACCTTTGCTATTACCTGTGTTCATTTCAATATTTTCAGTTCAAATCTGGCATAGGGATTTTACTTCTTTGACTTTTATGCTTGTATCTCTTTTCTCTTAAATCTGAGTTTTCATTTCTAGTATTTCTTTTTTATTGAAGTACTGTTGATTTACAGTTTCTGATGTACAGCAGAGTGACTCAGTTATGCATGTATATACATTCTTTTTAATATTCTTTTCCAAGGCCTCAAAACTTGGAATTGTTCAAAGTTAGGATCTAAACTCCTGGTTTGTAAAGCCTGTGTTCTTTCTTCTAGTACCTTTCCTTCATTCTCCACAAAGAACACTTTGCTTCTCTGTCTTTGCCCTTTTCTCTGTTATGGTTCTAGAATAGGAATAACTTGTCTGACCCAAGGTCAAAGGCAGAGTTAACAAGTGTCATAAATCTAGGCTTAAAGTACTCTTTTTATCCAAGTACATTATTATCCAAGTTTGTTTTTATCTTCAGTATATGTGAATAACAGTAATTAATATTTTTGAATTGAAAAAAATTTCCAAAGAAATACTGTGTAACTCTTACATGTTTGTAAGTACAGGAACTATACTGACTCCTGTTAGTCGTATTTGTAACAGGAGAATCTTAATACTAATAATTTTTGTGGACCATCAGGCTATTTATATATAGCACTAAGTAGTTTATGACAAGGCAGTATACTTTTTGTCTTCTAGGAGCTTCCTTTCTAATTCAAATTGACATTCTGGGCCTTACTAACCAGCTTTGAGGGTTTGGTTTGTTTGTTTTTATCCTAAAGCAGATTTAGAACTGTATTTAAGTAGTTTCAGTTAGCAGTACTGATTTTTGAAATGCTGTTTTGTAAAAATTTAGTCTTTTCTAGTGTTACTTTAATAGCCTTCTGTCCATGTTAATAAATATATTTAAGTGAATAAAAATGTATACTTTTTATTAGGGTTACCAGAAATCTTTATAATTTTATACTTGTTCTTATGTGGTTTTGTTATTATATCTTTTTTAAAATTTTTATTTCTTTAATTTTTATAATGTGCTTAGTCATGTCTGACTGTTTGCAACCCCATGGACTGTAGCCAGCCAGGCTCGTCTGTACATGGGATTTCCCAGGCAAGAAAACTGCAGTGGGTTGTCATTTCCTTCTCCAGGGAATCTTCCAGACCCAGGGATTGAACTCTGGGTCTCCTGGGTCTCCTGTGTCTCCTGCATTGGCAGGTGGATTCTTTATCACTGAGCCATCTGGGAAGCCCACTTTTTATAATACCTTTTGATAATCCAAACCATATGAACCTCTGTGTAATTCATATATACATTTATTTTTTACTTTCCAAATAAGATATTGTCCAGGTTAACACCTTTGAAGTAATTGGTAATTTTCAGCCTCAGTAACTCTAGTGATGCTTGTATTGCTTGTAAAAAATGTAAATTTTAGTTTTGTTCAGGGGAACATAAATCATCTTAAAGATGTCATAGGTAGGTTAGTGGGGAAAGAAGCTGTGATCTAACCAGATAGATGGCAAAATGCTTCACTGGTCTGGGAGTAATACAGCGTGGAAGTCAGTAAAGGAAATTAACAGGTTAACTACTTATTGTGATAAAGAAGGATTTTTGTTTGTAAGATTGTGATTCATAATGCTGTACAAATATATCAGTCTAGGCCATGTACATAGAGTTCAGGCTTTTCTTTAAAGGTACATGTTTCTTTCTATCAAACATCATATCCACAGGGGTAGAAAAATAGTAAAGCCTTGAGGATAAGGATTTTGCTTTGTTTTTTGGTGATACTTATTCATCTGTGATAGACATGATAGTCTAGGAGAATATTAGACTTAAGTTTGTGTGGTATAATAATTGACTTTTTTACATGACCTTTGGTGCAGTCCCTTACCCCTTTTTTAGTCTTTTTTTTTAATGAGGAGGGAAATAAGCTGGATTTTCTGTCAAAATAATGGACATGTTAGTGAGGTGCAAGAGTTGTGTTTTGTAATCAGGTACTAATAAATCATTGTGTAGCATTCCACATCTGATTCAAGTTTTTTCTTTTAAACAGGAAGTTGCTTTAAAGAATAAAAAAGAACCACATGAACTATCTCCTCCTCCCAAGTTCTACTCAAGCCTTATTGGAGAGATAAGAACTCTTGGTTGGGATAAGTATGTCTATTTTAAAATTTAGAAATGCCTGTTTCTTAACACATTTCAATTTGATATATTTGCAGCTTTAGCAGTTTATGTTTTTAGTCAAAGCATTTCCTTGTAGTTAGAGTATCTGATCCTTTTTGTGACTATGAATTAAAGGTGTGTCAGCATAAAAAATTGACTTACAAGGTAAAATACTAAATATAATTTGGAAAAAGTAACCTTTTTATGTACACAGTAAGCTAAGAAGTTATCAGTGTTACTTTGTTTTCTTTTAGTTGTAGTGAGATATAATTGACAAAATTTTAACATATTTAAAGTGTACTGTGTGGTGATTTGATATACCTGTATATTGTGAAAGGATTGTAACAGTTGCATTAATTAGCGTATCCCTCACCACACATGGGCTTCCCTTGTGGCTCAGTAAAGAATCTGCCTGCAGTGCTGGAGAGCTGAGTTTGACCCCTGGGTTGGAAAGATCCCCTGGAGAAGGGAAAGGCTACCCCTCCAGTATTCTGGCCTGGAGAATTCCATGGACAGAGGACCTGATGGGCTACAGTCCATGGGGTCACAAAGAGTCGGACACAGCTGAGCGACTTTCACTCACTCACCTCGTATATTTACTTTTTTGCTGACATTTTTTGGTCAATTTCTTGTTGCTATTGTATGGGAGGAGAATTTTAGCAACTTCTGACTGCCATTGACTGACATCACCTGATTTACTTAGTTTTATATCTACTATCTTGCTACATGTTTTCTGTTTGTCTCATATATTTTGTGTTTTTCTTTTCATCTGCCTTTATTTGAATTAATCACAGTGTTTATTATATTGTTCTATTAACTTGTTAGGTACATACTTTTTTTATTCTTGTAGAGATTACCTTAGAGATTACAATAGACACAGAGCAAAATGTATATTGTTATCTTTATCAGTTTTCTTATATTGTGAGGATCTAAAACTCTATGGCAGTTTCTCCCTCTGTTGTTATTGTTATAATGCATTTTAATTCTATATTTAAATTTGACAAACATTATTATTGTTTTTAAAGTCAATGTTTTTATACATACACACATTATTATTCCCCCTAGTGTTCTTTATTCATCTTCCTTACTGCATTTTTATCCTGTCTGGAATAATTTTCCTCCTGACTAAAGAATTGCTTTTAATATTTTTTTATTGAGGTATACTTGATCATATACTAGTTTCATGTGTACAACATAATGCACTTCTCAGGGGGTTCAGTGGTAAAGAATCTGCCTACCAGTGCAGGGAGATATGAGTTCAATCGCTGGGTCAGGAAGATCCCTTGTAGTAGGAAGGGGCAACGTCGTCCTGTATTCTTGCCTGGAAAATTGAATGGACAGAGGAAACTGGTGGGCTACAGTCCATGGGGTTGTAAAAGGCAGACACAACAGAGTGACTGAACTCATACACATGTACAACATAATAATTCAGTATGTGTATGTATTATGAAATGATTGCCACAAGAAGTCTAGATAACATCTGTAAGCATACATACATTTTTTTTTTCTTACGATGAGAACTTGGAAGATTTACTTTTAACAGCTTTGAAATATACAATACAGTTGACCCTTGAGCATCATGGGTTGTTATATGCAGTTTTTTTCAGTGAATGTTACTGCAGTACTATCTGATCTGCCATTTGTTTAATGCATGGATGTGGAACTGCAGCTATGGAGGGGACTTTACAGCTACTGTAAGGTTAATAGGTGGATTTTCAACTGTGTTGATGGTTGGTGCATCTAAACCCCATGTTGTTCAAGGGTCATCTGTCTGATATTATAAGCTATAGTCACTGTATAGCTGTAATGTGTATAAGCTATACAGTTACACTCCGATTAATTATTTTCTAACTGGAAGTTTGTACCTGATGACCTCTTTTCACTCATTTCACTCACCTTCCACAGCCATCTCTGGCAACCCCCAGTCTTTTCTCTGTATCTATGAATTTAGTATTTTAGGATACTTTTTACATGCCACATATAAGTGACATCATGTCTTTTTCTGTTTGTCTTATTTCATTTAGCATAATGCCCATTAGAGGTCATCCACATTGTTGCAAATGGTGGGATGTTCTTTTTTAGTGGTTGAAAACTGTTCCATGGTGTGTGTATATATACACACACAGACCACATTTTATTGATTCATTCATCTGTCAGTGGCACTTGGGTTGTTTCTGTGTTGGCTGTTGTAAATAATGCTGCATTGATGGGTGTGCAGGTGTCTCTTTGACATTGTGATTTGTTTGAGACATATACTCAGAAATGGAATCGCTGAAATCATATTGAAGTTCTGTTCTTAATTTTAGAGTGCATATAGATTTATAATTGCTGCATCTTCCTTGTGATTTTCCCTCATCATTAAATGTTTCTTTATGTATCTAGTAATATTTCTTGCCTTAATGTCTACTTTGTTAGGTGTTAGTTTAACTCTACTAGATTTTAATGCTCTATTGAAATTCTCTTATTTTTTCTCTATATTTTCATAGTTTAAAAATTTTTCTACCTACTCCCATAGTCTATATTCCCTTGAGTCTGTTTTTGATTTATTTATTTTTTTGTGATTTTCTGTAAATATAGTGCTGGATCTTGGCATTCCGTGGTACTTTTATTGATTTTTGTTAATAGACTTGTTTTTTTAAGAGTAGTTTTAGGATCATCACAAAATTAGGAGAGCATGGATATTTTCCATATGCTTTCTTTCCCCAGATAAACCCTTAGATTCCCCATTATCAGCATCCCCTGTCAGAGTGGTACATTGGTTACAGTGGATGAACCCACACTGACATATTTGTTATCACCCCCAGACCATAGTTTATATTAACATATACTCTTAGTCATATACTTTTTCTCTTTTTGGACACATGTATAAAAACATGTATCTGCTACTATAATATGGTACAGAGTAATTTCACTGCCTCCGAAATACCTTATGTTCTACCTACTCATCCCTTCTTCTGCTCTGACCCCTGGCCACCACTGCTCTGTTCACTGTCTCCAAAAGTTTTGCCTTTTCCAAAATATCATGTGGTTGGAATCATACATTATGAAGCCTTTTCATGTTGACTTATTTCACTTATGTATTTAAATTTCTCTCAGTCTTTTCATAGTTCATTTGTTTTTAGCACTGAATAATATTCATTGTCTGGGTGAACCACAGTTTGTCCATTCACAAGTTGAAGGACATCTTGCTTGTTTCCAGGTTTGGCAGTTATGAATAAAGCTGCTTTAAACAGTTATGTGCAGGTTTTTCATGTGGATGTTATTTTTTAACTCTGTTAGATAAATACCAAGGCCTAGACTTATTTTTTAAGAGCAAAAAGTAAAGGTTTTTCTTTACTGTCACAATTGAATTAGTACAAAGTTGAATACTGTTTAACAACAACAAAAAATGTAAAATGTTGTTTCCCTGTTTCTGCTTAGTAACATGATTGAAAAGTGAAAGTGTTAGTCGCTCAGTCATGTCCGACTCTTTGCGACCCCATGAACTGTAGACTGCCAGGCTCCTCTGTTCATGGGATTCTCCAGGCAAGAATACTGGAGTGGGTTGCGGTTTCCTTCTCCAGGGGATCTTCCCAACCCAGGGATCGAACCCAGACCTCCAGCATTGCAGGCACATTCTTTACCATCTGAGCCACCAGGGGAGCAATAACATGGTTGTTTTTTCTTAAAAAAGAAAAAAAAAAGGCAGAAAAGGGAGAAATGAGGAAGCTGTCTTAATTTCTATGCATTCTAGCTAATGCCCCTTTTTTCCTTTTTTCACTATCCTGCTGGCAGTTCTTCAGTGTTTTGCCCTTGGCCATTCAGGCTTCATTGCTATGCCTGATAATCTTTTGTTGAGTGTTGGATATTGTGTATTAAAAAACTTAGAGGCTCCAGATGATATTTTCTTCTACAATGGGTTTACTTTTTTTTTTGCTAGGAAAATAAAGTGGGGGGAAGTTGCCATAGAGACTGAATGATTCAGGATGGGTTGTAGTTTTTGCAGGGTTCTCATTGTCCCTCCTCCACCCTCCAGAGCTTACAAACAAGAGCCAAGTGTGTTCATTCAGATTTCTCCCTTGGTAGATCCTAAACTCTAATCTTTAATCTTTGTAAGGTTAGTTTACCTCTCCATTAGAGTCTGGGCTCCATTTTGGGCTGTGCTTCATATGCATCTTGTTTACTTTGCTTTTATAGTTAGCCCTCCAGGGATTCCCACTGAGAGCATAGGTATGTTCACTGGGACTCTTCCCCACTGGTAGGTTCTAAATTCTAATTAATTTATCTTCAGTATTATGAGATTTCTGAATATTACACTTTGTTTTTCATTGGCTTTCTGCTTGGCTTTTTATCCTCTCATACTGTGCAATTTATGAAAAGTTTTGATGAAAAATTTGATGAATATTAGGCTCCAGTCTCTGACCCTACCTTTTCACCAGATTCTGGACCTTTAAGTCTCTTATTTTTATTCCTCTATTCTCATGAGATTGCCAGAAATGCTGCTGAGTTGGTTTTTGTTCTTTTGTTTCTGTTTGTTTGTTTGGCTACTTACTAATAAGTCTCTGCTTGCCCAATTTCCTCAGATCCTCCTTTTCTTCCCTTGGGGGAATTGCTAGATACCCTGAGGGAAAATGGCTGAAGTGTTGTCTGTCTTCTTCTCTCTTCCCCCTTCTTCAGGACCTTGGTCTGTCAAGTCCCGGTTGCCTTAGCAATTTTTTGACACCTTGAAACTTTCTTTTTCTTTTCCTTGTCCATCAGGATGCTTTAGTTGTTCTCACTGGAAGTTTTGGTCTAAGGTATTCCATTTTTTAGCCAGAAACGGATGTTATGTATAATTTTACATGTACCATTATGGTGAGATTGAGAACTGGTTAGTGCATATTCATGAAATTAACCTTATCTGATAAGGTGTCATTCCTGAATAGGATTTGGGATAGATGAAACCTTTTTTAGAGACAGAGAAGACAAATAATGAGTTGAGGTGCACTTTTAACAATTCTGCTGAAGTTACG